GAGGGAGAGGGAGAGGGAGAGGGAGAGGGAGAGGGAGAGGGAGAGAGGGGATGATATACTGGTGTCCTTTTGCTCATCTAATTTGCAACTATCCTGTGTTCTTTACAAATGTCTTACATTGGTTTTGTTAATTCATTACTTGGTCCCATTTAGTTTTGTTGCCAGTTTGAATATTAGTTTGCATCACATTTCCTAATGTTTATTTTTGGTGTCAAGAGATGATGTTGATTTTTTCCCTCATTGATAGTAGACCTAAATGCCTTGCAGTACATTTCTTCAGTTTAATGAGTCTCTTGGCTTTTATATAAAACAATCATTTCATTGTTATATAAAGACTTTTTTTTATGTCTTCCTTTTCAATTTTATTTTTCTCAGTTATTTTTCTTATCTTGTTGTGGGAGTTGGGACCTTTTAACGCATGATTGAGTTGAAGTAAGTAAGGAAGAAAGCTCTGGCATTTGGTGTCAATGACAGTTCTTGTAAATGAAATGTGGCCTTTGCTGTAGGATTTCAAGAGAGATCCTTTATTTGGTTACAGGATGTGGTGTCATCGCTCCTTCCCCTGGGATTATCAGATATGTATTTGGAGCTGGCATCCTACCCAGCCTTCAGGATGTCCAATCAGGGCTGTTTCCATACAATGGGCACAAACCACACCGTCTTCTTACATGACAAGGTAAATATACAGATGCAGTCTGTACAATTAAATGAGTTCTAATTAAAAGTGTCAATGGAGAGAAGCCCAGGAAAGAGAGAGATTTATAAAACTGAAATCTAATTTTGTCAATCATTACGAGGAAACACCAGACTGTAAAGGGTAATTAACAATATGCCAATAGGATGATCAATGAGAAAAACTGGACTTGGCCCAAAGTCAGAAGTCTGTAGATTTTTGTATGTTGTAAAAGCCTATTTAATAAAATCAAAATTACTAAAGGAGTATGAATTTTCTCTTACTTCTGAAAATTAAATTCTAATCCTACTGCCTGGGTTGTTTTTCTGATGATCTCACAGATTCTATACATTTATCCCTTCTTCCTCAGGGTCATTTGCCCCATGGGGGACATTCTCTTTAGCGGAGGACTGTTATTATCCTAGGATAGTCTCTCAATATCCTTATTCATATAGTAGCTGACTCACCCAATCATGTACTCAGCAACATTTATGGATCCATAATGTGCTATATGTCTTTAGAACTGTAAAGGTTGCATAGCTGGCTTTACTTTCTTTTTTTGTGCTGTCAATAGAACCCAAGGTCTTATGTGTGCTTGTACGGTGGGTCGCTGAGCTATGTCCCCAGCTTATTAGCCATCTGTGAGATGGAGAGGATAAGACATGTGTTTGCAGTACAAAACGGGAGGGGAAAAAAGACCGAGAATAAAGACAGGACTTCCCCCAGAGAGGAGATGATGGAGCTGTGTTTAGAAAGAAGGGGAACTGGATGTTTCCTGGGTGGACAGAGGATCAAGTCCCTTCCTTTGTCCTCTGCTGGAAGATGAGTGGTCCATGCAAAGCCATGACAGTGCAGAGCATGGCTGTAGAGACTGCTCACCTGGATCTGAATGTCCTTGGAGTTGATCACTTCCACAATGCCCACCACATTATCAAACACCAGGCCAAACTTCTTGCAATTATCTAAAAGCAAAAGAGAAAACTCCAGTAAAGGCACATGGCATGTTTCTGTAGCACAGCTCATCACAGCAAACACATGGCCTTCGTTTTGCCTACCAACAGTGATGGAATTTATTTTTCCTTTTATCTGAAGAGTGGATTTTTCACATTTGAAAATGTAAGCCACTTGCTTCAGCTCGGTCTCTGAGATGACAAGGTCATTCTTGTCCTCATGGTATTCCTAAAAGTGAAGCAGATGTGGATATGAAACATAAACAGAAAGGCAGAGCAAATCCACTGAGTGCTGGCATTGCCAGAGGCTTCAACAGAATTCTTGCCTTTCAGTGTGTTTTCTTCCAGAACATTCTCCTTATGGAGAAACCTCCAGGTGTTAACTGTTGATTTTAATTATGGGAGTGGGTGAACCATGGCTTAGAAGTGGCTATTGGTTTGCCAAGAGTCAGATGTTAGCAGCCCTGCTACAGGGCGGGGCTGGAGCAGGGATGTGGTTGCCATGGAGACTTGGATGCTGATGCTCCACTTGATGCTGCATCAGACCCTGCTGTGTCCCACCAGAGATGGGACTAGCGATGTCTGAACAGTAGTCTAAGCTCCAGTGTCTATTCAGGCCCTGGCAACTTTTCCAGGGACTTTTTGTTCTGTAATCTCTAAGGAAGCTCTCTGGGTTGGTAGTGGACTCCAGCTGTCAGTCACATTCAATGCTTCTCTGGCCTGCTCATCTGATTGACCCTGAGGGTGATGGGTGGCAGCAGCGGCTTATGGGTATGAATGAAACAATCAGCCCGATACCACAAGGCACAGACTCCAAGGACCACATGTTGGTGGCTTCTCCCATGTCTACTGGAGTGAGGAGCCATGTGCATAGAATGGGGCAGTGAGTAGGGGCTAGAGGGTTAGAGTTCTGCAAGATAAAGAGTCGTCTGTGGTGAATGCCGAGGCTGGAAACATCACAGTGTAAACATACCCAGCGCCATAAGAATGTGCACTTAAAGATGGTTAATCGTAAATGTTATATGCATTTTTACCACAGTTAAAAAATAGTTCTAGAAAGTAGAAGGAAAGAATGCATGGGAACAACTGAAGAACAATCGGCAAGCCTGCAGAAGCACCTGTTTGTTTGTTTTTTTTCTCTTGGCATTTCACCTAGGATCCCTGTGTCTTTGGGAAGCAGTTTTAGCTGTTTAGGTGTTTGGAAGCTGGTTTTAGCCGAATGAATCAGAGTAAATGTTAAAGGACTTCACTCACCACTCTCCATTTCTTCCCTTCCAGCTCCAACACTGGAGCGTGTTTCTGGGGAGAATTCGACTTCGGAGATGTAGGACTTGGAGTGTAGGTTTTGGTTGGAGATCGAGTTTGTCCTTGAGCCCTCAAGCTGGGGTTCTTGTATATCTTCTGGTCATCTGTGACATGCCGGAGCCCTAGGAATGTTTGACAATTGGTTAGTTTATTTATTTATTTATTTATTTATTTATTTATTTATATATTTGAATTAGAAACAAGATTGAATTACATGAAGATTCCAGTTCCCTTCTCCCTCCCTTCCTCCCCTACCACCCCCCAACTAAAACCCTACCTATCATATGTCCTTTCTTCTAATCTACACCTGACTCAACCTTTCTGCTCCCTCATGACCTCAGCATTCTTTCTTTTCTTCCCTTCTCATTCTCGTAGCTCCCTCTCTCCCTCTTCCCATGTTCTCAATTTGCTCAGGGGATGGTGACCCTTTCCCCTTCTTCAGGGGACAAAGTTTGTCTCTTTTAGGGTCTTCCTTGTTTACTAGTTTCTCTGGCAGTGTGGATTGTAGAATGGTAATCCCTTACTCTATGTCTAAAATCCACATATGAATGAGTATATATCATGTTTGTCTTTTTGTGATTGGGTTACCTGGTTCAGACTGGTTTGTTGGAGTTCCATCCATTTTCCTGCAAATTTCAAGATTCCATTGTTTTTTTTTCTGCTGAGTAGTACTCCATTGTGTAAATTGGTTAGTTTAAATTGTCAACTTACCCTAAGCTAAAATCACCTGGGAAGAGAATCTCAATAAGGGAATGTCTTGATTTGATTATAGATCAGGTTAGCCTGTGGACATGTTACTTGTCTGTGGGGGATTGTCTTGATTGTAGATCAGGTTAGCCTGTGGACATGTCACATGTCTGTGGGGGATTATCTTGATTATAGATCAGGTTAGCCTGTGGACATATCACTTGTCTGTGGGGGATTGTTTTGATTGCCTTAACTGATATGGGAATAGCCTAAAAATGGATGGGAACAAAACCATTCCTTGGTTTTGGACCTTGGACTATATAAGAGTAGAGAAAACTAGCTGTTCACTAAGCATGTGTGTGTTTATTCTCTCTCTGCTCTTGACTTCGATGTGACTAGTTGCTTTAAGTTCCTGCCCTGACTTCCCCACAATGATGGACTGTAACCTGGCCTCTAAAGCCAAATAAATCCCCCTCCATTAAGGTCACTATCAGGGTATTTTATAACAGCAATAGAAAAGAAACTAAGATAGAGGGTGGCACAGTGCAGGTACATTTCTTCCCACCTTATGAAAAGGGAAATACCCACCATGTAAAATACAAGAACTTTTGGTATTACTGTTTCCATTAACACTTCATTTCTCAAGGTCAATATGCAGAGGTTGCATTCTGTGTGAACTCAGACTGAAAGAAACATTGTGTTCTTTAAAAAAATGTGTTATTTAAAAAATAACATTGTGTTATTTAAAAAAAATGAGCATTGTTGTTTGGATGTAAATGTCCCTCAAGGCCAATGGAAAAATGTGGTCTCCAGATCACGATGTTTGGAACCTTTGGGTTTGATTGAAAGTTGGTGAGGTGAATCCTTGCTGGGAAGAAGTGGGTCACAGAGCAGGCCTTGCAGTTTCATAGCCTAGTCCTACTTCCTGTCCACTTTCTACTTCCTGTTTTACCAGAATATGAGTTGGTGAAGGGTCAACTCAGCTGGATTTGGAATCACCAAGGAGACACAACTCTAGACATGTCCATGAGGGAATTTCCAGAGAGGCTTAACTGAGCTGAGAAGGCTCACCTTAATGCAGGTGGCTGCTGGGGCCCCAGACTCATCTAAAGGGACAATGTGAGCTGAGTACCAGTGTTCAAGCCCTCTGCTTCTTAAAGAAACCCACTGTGATGGGAACAAGCAGTCCTGTGTTCCTGCAGCTACGCCTTTCCCTATTGATGGATTGCAAACTCTCAAACTGTGAGCCAAAAAAGGTCCTTCCTTGAGTTACTTTTGTGAAGAATTTTGTTACAGTAGTGAGAAAAGTAACTAACACAATAAAGATGACAACCCCAGAAAAAAAGCACACAAAAATTCCTACAAATCCTCATGCCATCTAACCCCCAAAAGCTTCTGGGTTTATTCACTGCCAAATAATTTGCTAGGTGTGGCTTAAAAGGCTATGATACCCTAGCAGGCATTTTTCAGAACTCAGAACTAGCTTTAGAGTTAGAAGCCTATTTCTTTATTTTGCAAGTGAGTTTCAGAGGGACCAGTAAAGCAGGTCCCAGCCAGGGCTAAGTTTGGAAAGTCTGAGTTCTTAGCCCCACGTAGAGGGACATTTACACCCTCAATCCTATTGTTCAAAAAAAAAAAAAAAAAAAGAAAAGAAAAGAAAAAAGAAAATGCCTGCAACAGACCTTTTGGTAACATGCTATTGTTTAGCATGCGTGTACCTTTTGATCCTGATAAATTTTAAACATTTGCCTTTTAAAAAATCAACTATTTGGGGCTGGAGAGATGGCTCAGAGGTTAAGAGCACTGACTGCTCTTCCAGAGGTCCTGAGTTCAATTCCCAGAAACCACATGGTGGCTCACGACCATCTATAATGAGATCTGGTGCCCTCTTCTGGCCTGTAGGCATATATGCAGGCAGAACATTGTATACATAATAAATAAAATCTTAAAAAAATTCAAATGAAATAAAACTTGTTTCATCTTAAAAAAAAGAAAAAAATCAACTATTTGCTGTATTGCAGGACAGTGGGACTATTCAGCGTTTTAATTTCATTTGATCCTGATGACTGAGTCCGGAAGGACGGTGGGAAGCACTGGGGCTGAGGGGTAGAACTCACTCACTGCTCAACTGAGAACAGAGTCTCTGAGTTCTTGCTGGTCCACATGGCAGCCCATGGAGCCCATGTTCCTGATGCTCCCACCTCCCAAAGGCAACACTTTCTTCCTGTGTCCTAATGCAGGGTGGAATGCTGTGCAATTCACTGGGGCCCTGGAAAGTTCATGGGCCTAGAGCCCTGGGGAAAGGGAACCTGCTTGCAGGTTTTGTTTTCTCTTACCTTTTGTGATGGCTTCGCCCTGGTTAAGCTGGGCGAATAAAGCTGAGCGAGAAGGAGAAGACTCCTCATTTTTACCCTCATTCTCAAAAAGTGGAGGGGGCCCAGGAGGAGGTGGTGGTGGAGGAGGTGGCGGGAGACCAGGCCCAGAGGAGAAGACGGAAAACACGGATGCTGTGGATGCCACAGGACCCTGTGGAGACAGATGATGAGAGCTTGGCAGAGACTGTAGGTCTGGCTGGGATTCTGTCAGGGGGTCAAGACTCTTCAGTGGGGTCCCATCGGCAGAACAAGCACGGTAAGCTTGTTTGAAGGGCCCTCCCTGGATCAGGGTGAGATCTATGTTGGGAGCATGTAGTCTGTCTGGTGGGCCCTATATATTTAGGAATCCCACTGCCAGGTCTTCAGCAAACATCCACAGTCCCAAGTTCATGCCCAAGGCCCTGGATAAGAATGAAACCAGCCTTGACTACTAGAGTTGTGAGAAAAAGTGGTTCAAAGGATAAGAAAATTATTTTTTTTTGTGGATAGTGGAAACCACAACTGAGAGAGAGAGAGGGGGGGGAGAGAGAGAGAGAGAAGAGAGAGAGAGAGAGAGAGAGAGAGAGAGAGAGAGAGAGAGTTAGCAGACTTTTTGGAACACTTTTGAATAGCTAAAGACAGACTGGAATACTCTGGAACTCACTTCACAATTGTGCATGCCTCAAACAAAGACAAACAAAGGCCATCTATGACCTGGGTGATTGTCAGATACAGAGGGAGAAGGCACCTGGAACCCTAAGATTGATCTGAAAATATCAGGATTGATAGAACAATAGAAACCAGACCCTTAGCCACGGTCAGCATGGGTCCTCACTTTCTCTATTGTGTGGCATGCGACCTGTAGCTCAAAGGTCTGACAAAGTCAAATGGTAGGACCAGGAGATACAAAAGAGGGGTCTTCTTGTCACTGCGGTGGCTCATCTTCATCTTCATCAACATGACATAGAATCACTATAAAAACACACCTCTGACTGTCTTTGAGGATAATCCCAGCAAGGTTTAGCTGAGAAGGGATGCACCAACCCTAGGGGTTGACAGGACCATTCCATGGACTGAGGTCTGGACAAAATGAAGAGGAGCTGAGAATCAGCGTTTGTCCTTCTGCCTCCTGACTACTGTACCATGTGACCTGCTATTTCACACTCCCGCTGCCATGCCTTCTCCACTGTCATGGGCTGTGTCCTCAAACTATAAGCCATATTAGTCCCTTGTCCCTTAAGCTGCTTCTTGTCAGGGGTTTGGTCACAACAATGAGAAAAGCACCTAATAATGTAGACCCCATAGATGATATTCTCAGAGAAATTTTTTTTTGAGACAGTGTTTCTCTGTGTAGCCCTGGGTGTCCTGGAACCCACTCTGTAGACCAAGTTGGCCTCAAACTCACAGAGATCCACCTGCCCAGCCTCTAAGGACTTAAAACCAGTTTGATAGAAACTTAAAAATACTACAAACTTAAGATGCATATGCCATTATACTTTTTAATGTCTTAGTTACTGTTCTATTGCTGTAAAGGGACACTATACCCAAGACAACTCTTAGGAAAGAAAGCATTCAGTTGGGGGTTTGCTTACAGTTTCATTGGGTTAGTCTATCTCCATCATGGTGGGGGGTATGGCAGCAGGCAGGCAGGCATGGTGCTAGAGCAGTAGCTGAGAGCTCATATCCTGATCCACAGGCAGCAGGCGGAGAGAGTGAGATTAGGCCTGTTGCCATGTGATTTTGAAACCTCAAAGCCAAGCCCCAGTGACACATCTCCTTCAAAAAGGCCATGCCTACCAACCCTTCCTAAACAGTTTACCCAATAGGAACCAGACATTATTTAGACATATGAGCCTATGGGGGGCCATTCTCATCCACATTTAATATATATCTTTTATTTTTATTTATATGACTGTATATGTGTCTGTTTGGGTGTATGTAATAGGTGTGTGGGTGTCTGCTCATATAAGTTTTCTTGAATCTGGAGTTATAGTTGGTTGTGAACTGCTTGACATGGGTGCTAGGAATCGAACTCAGGTCTGGAAGAGCAGCAAGTGCTCTTAAGGATAGAGCCATCTCTTTTTCACACTGTATTTGAAAATACAGACATATAGCTGTACACCTATGAAAAGGAATTAGAAGCCAATTAAATTTTAAAGAGGCAGAGCCAGGGGTAATGGGACATGTCAGGAATTTCATTACTCAGGGTCTGAGGTGGGAGAATGGCTAGTTTCAGACAACCCTGGGCTTACTATATAGAGATAAATTTGGATCACATAGTGAGACCCTGTTTCAAAATAAGATGTAATGGAAAACTAAGAAATTGGGAGAGACAGAACAGTTTGTGTGTTTTCACTACCAAATACAAAAATTGAAACATTATATAAGTACTAAATGCTAATGAGAACAGCATAATCTTATTTTCATAAACAGCTTGGTATTATGAGATGTCAAAGTCAGGAAGTTTTAATCTTCAGTTGTCTTTTAAAACAGCTATTTTTGAGTACTTACATAATCTCTATTCATCACAGAATCGCTGGGAAGAGAAAAGATTCTTCTTTCATTCAGGACATGTGTCGATGAGCCTCAGCAGGCTGAAGTCTGCTCTTCTGAGCTATGATTTGCAGCACTTTTGCTTTTGGCTTTCTTTTTTCCCTAAGGAGGAGCACCCTGACTCTGTCAGGATTCTGGGGTCAAGCAGAAAATGATTTCACAGTTCTTGAGACCAAACCAATTTTTCTCCCCAGGATCCTAAATGATTTCTATCTATCATGTTACTGAGGTGAAATCCGAGGAATTGCTCAGACCCATAAGGGACGCACAGTATAAACTTTCTCATCAAGCCATATTCCAGGCCCTGGTGATAGACACCAAGAGCCATGAAATATTACTTTCTTATAAGTGCATCATTATTCATGCAGTCAGTGGAGGAGCAGTACCCCAACATCTGAAAACTTGGAATTTGTGGGACTTCTGTTTTGTGAGAAGGGGTGTTGGCCTTAGCTTCTACATCTTAGAAACACTGGTCTCTTCATTCTCAGAATCCAAGAGCTGGGAGATAACACAGCAGCAACAACAACAACAACAACAAAACCACATCCCATCTTCTGGGGACACTGACACATTCAGATGGTTTGCCTGGTGACAGCAGACAGGGTTTACTGAGATAAATGTGGAAAATAAAATCTCCCAAATCACGGGCGCCTGGGGCCTGTGAAATGCTGCCTTGGACGTGCCCTTCTGAGGTACAGCCTCATTTCTACATCATTCACTGGGTATCAGGCTCTGGTTTCCAAGGTTACTTTGCAATTAGCATGCAGGGGCTTTACTGAACAGTAGACTTGAAACCAAACTGATTAAGCCTTCCCTGAATTCAATCTCTTCGGGCTGCTCCCAAAGCCTGGAAGGGGAGGAACTTATCTCTTTCTGTACCATTACAGACCACACAGCCTCAGTGCTTTCCACGGCCTCCTGTGACTTGGCATTTGGGGACAGTGGCCAGCAAGACTGATCTTGCATGACACCCAGTGAAGGAGAGAGGAAGCAGGCACTGGGGGTTGAGGAAGGGCTCTCAGGTGCCAAATGTTTGTTGATTTAGTATATACCCAGCCAGGACTTAACTATGCCAGGGCTCATACACCAGCCATGACAGCTCTGTGCCAGGGCTCTCAGATTTATTGAAACAGTTGAAGTATCCATGGACCTGTAAAGACCTCCCAAGCCCAGGCTATGTGGCAGAAACACTGACTGGGGAATGGAAGCAGGGTAGGATGTAAACTCCTGTGTGTGTGTGTGTGTGTGTGTGTGTGTGTGTGTGTGTGTGTGTGTGTCTGTCCACTGCTCTAGGTGATTAAAGTGTGGGGACAAGTGTGGGAACAACTACCCTATCTATACTATGGGCTGAGATGAACCTTAAATAGGACAATGTCACCTGGGCTGTACTGAAATCCTGCTGACAGAAAAGAAAGCAGGAACTCAGAAAAGCTGTTTGCACTCAACAGTAACCAGCAGCCAATGCCAGTGGCATAGCTCTAACACAGGTCTGTTGATTTTAAAGCCTTCTTTACAGAAATCCTTTTTTTCAGAGACAGGGTCTTATGTAGCCCATGTTGGCCTGGAACTCACAATGTAGCCATGGATGACCTTGAACTCTCCATCCTTCTGCCTCCACCTTCGGGGATCTTTGATTACCGGTGTTCACCATCACATCCGGGCACATTAACAAAAAGATTACACTTCTTTATTTACGTATGTGTTCATGCCTGCCATGGTGCTCATGGAAAGGTCAGAAGATAACTTACAGGAGTCAGTTCTTTCCAGCTACCCTGGGTCCTGGGAATGGGACTCGGTGGACAAAGCTTGGCAGCTGTGTGAGCCATCTCACCACACTAGGTTTTGTCAGTTTAAAGTCATTAGACCACCCGAAGTTGGGAGGGGATGGAGAGGGAAAGTGTGAGTCTGGGAGGAGTTCGGGAGAGGAATGGGGGCTGGGGAGTAAATATGACAAAAACACATTGTAAGCATGTATGAAATTCATTCTCAGAGGCCCATGAGGAGCAGTGGAGATTAAACCCAAGGCTGGCACAGTGACACACACCAATATAATACAAATGTTATATTAAAAAACTAAAGTTACTGGTCAAATTAAAGACTAGAGGCATAGAGGCATGCATTACCTTGTGAAATAGTGCTTTTTTTTTTTTTTCTGAATCTTAGAACACATGTGACTGAAATGTTGGGAGAAACACAACAATCTTGACTTAGTTTTTTTTTGTTGTTGTTGTGTTGTTCTGTTTTTTTCTTTCTTGAGACAGGGTCATGTTATGTAGCCCAGACTGGCCTCATTCCCTTACTCCTTCGATCTCAGTCCTCCCAGCGCAAGGCCATTGGTGTGTCACTGTCTGGCTTGGTTTAGTTTTAATCTCCACTGCTCCTCACCGGCCTCTCAAACCTGCACCCTCCCGGCTGCTGTCTTATGAATGAATGGTCTGGGGTGGTTTTCATTTGATGGGGGATTAGACCTCTTGGTTTTGGCACTGGCACTGCAGCATCAAGTCAGCTTTCACACTGGTTTTGCCATGCTTTAGGATTCTGCTGTCAAACCCAGCCTCTTGTCCTCTTACTTCTGCACTCACTGGCTATAGGAGTGACACCCTTGCACCCAGACCCCAG